TGTGTGTGTGTGTGTGTGTGTGTAAGGATATTTAATCTATTTGATGTTTGGATTTGAGGGAAGGGGCAAGGGGTGCTGTTATTCCTCAGAGAGTTCGTCCGAGTTATTGAGTTGTTATTTTCGGCATGAAAGGCAAATACAGAGTGATGTGAGAATTTACAGTTTTTGCTTGTTTGTTTTGTTTTGTCAACTTAAGTATCATTTCTGGGAACTGATTCTCTGGACCGGCATGATTCAAAACGTTTTCCAACTGTGACGTTCTGTACCACACCTCCTGGACATCTAAACCTGGATATACTGATCTCACAGGGTAAAACCAGGGTCACTATGTTCTGCCCACATCTGCCTAGATACTGAGCTGTAAGGGTACTCGGATTTGAAACCAGATCAACTAGGAATCTGACTATGGGCACATTACTTCACCTTTTGGAGTGTCCCCATGTCCACTGAAAATAAAAACAATCTGCAGTCTGTGTGTACCTTCCTAAAATTTGTACAACTTAGGGGGAAGCCTAGCTAAACCTAGGAGTCTCGCTGCAAGCATCATCTGGGCCCGCAGGGGGCAGCAAACTCCAGCACTAAGCTCCCGGGGCCAACGCAGCTGGTTGGAGAAGCGACTTCCCAAGGTCTTGGCTCCCACTGGCCCTGAGCTGCACCCTACTCCCAGGGCGAGGACAGAAGAAGGATGTGGGACCAAGGACTCCACGTCTCATAAACCAACTCCAGAGAGGACAAGACTATGGAAACACTAAGGCGGAGCGCAACTAGGGAGTGCGCCTGCGTAGTACTACATCCAGCAGGCGGTACTGCCCCGTGAGCCCACTGCTTTTTCCTGCCTTTTCCAGCAGCAGCAAGGGTGCACGTGAGCTGTGCGTCCCATAAAAGAAACTTTTCACGCAAAGGCTTGAGAATAAACAGGTCTTTGCTCTCTCCTTCAATCTCTCGATCTTCACAGCAGAAAACAATTCAGTGGACACAGGAAAGGAGGACGGAGAAAGGAGGAAGGAGGAAAGAGGAAGGAGGAATGTCATCTGCCCTCCCAGAGATATTTTCTGGTTAATCCTGCCAATTTCATGAATTCCTGCCATCTTGGGGGCCCTAAATCGCACAACTATTTGGGGTGTGGTGGTAGGTAAGGCTCAACCTAGACTTGCTTCAAAAATGGCTTTCATGTCCACTTAGTTCATAGGCAGGCAATTGTTTTATTTTTATGTGAAAATGCTTTGTGGATATTTATTTACAGCCCTCTTAGTGGGTGGAGAAAATTCTGCAGGACCTGGGATAGGAGAGGACAGGGATTTTCAGTTTTGTATGCAGAACAGTGAATAATTTTGTTGCATTGCATCCAGGACATTTTCCAGCCTTGTATCAGCACTTAGCCTCCGTCTGTTGCAGGAACATGCAATGAACATGCCTCCCTCTTCCAGCCACTCCACCCTACTTTCAAGTTCTTACAGCCTCTCCCCTTAATGCTTTGTTGTAGTGGAGTGGGGGTGGGGCAAGTGTTCTCTGCCTTCCAGAAGAAGCTAGAAAGATAATTGAGTTGTGCGACTTTTCTCACGCACAGCTCACATTCTGTTGGGAACGGATTAATTTTATCCTTCTTTAGAAAGGAACTCAGTACTCTGTGGAGATGAAGGAATTGTGGAATTCTGGACGATGTAGTCACGGGTGGTGGGGCAGTGGAGGAGAGTGTGGACAGCTACTGGATAATTTCCCACAGGCCTTGTCTTTGAGCCACCCACTCATTCTCTCAGGGCAGTGCACTTGGAGCTGTGTGCAGGTCAGCCGTGGGTGAACTAGTTAGTGTGGGTTTGCCCTACATGAGTGTGGCTGGACCAGAAAAAAAAACATTTGAACCGGCAACGAACCTCAAGCAGTTTTACAGGAAATTAAATGGATTTATCTCTTATGAAAAGAGGGTCTCCTGAACAATTGGGGGACTCAAGGTGAACTCACTTTTCACACTAGGTTAGCTTAGAAGAAAAATTAGACCCTAAATTACTATCCAGTGATGAATCGTCTCTGTTATAACCTCTGGATTTGTAAACGAGTGTGTCTTCCTGACTGTTAGACACCTTAGTCAATATTTCAAATACATGTGCCCTGTGTGTGTGTGTGTACTCACATGCACCCACACACACACACGTGTGCGTACACACACACACACACACACACACACACACACACTACTGCCCTAGGGCTCTGACTAAGGGAAAAGCATCAAGACTTCCCACCCCTGTATCTCCTAGAGGTCCAAATCAGAGACCAGTAGGGAGCCCTGCTTTTAACTTCCCAGCCTTGTCCACCTGCAGGCTTTGAACTCTCAGGGCTGAATCTCACATTCATCCACCTGCTCCCCTTCTTTGTCCTTTCTCGAGAGTGGGTACTCTTGTCACCTGATAGCTTCACTTCAGTCACCTACAGATTCGTGTCTCTGTCTTCCTGATTATGTTCCACTACCACAGCTGGGAAACATGAAGTCTGCCTGTAAGGCTGGTTCACTTAACCCTTCACTGACCTTGGGGCAAGAACCACAGACTCCCCTTACAGGCTGATGTGAGTGCAGGTCATATTTCTAAACAGACACTTTTTGCACAGTCCATGTGTGTTTCAGGTTTTAAGGTGTGTCATTATTTGCTTATCATGTGTGTCTCTGTGTGAGTTTGTGCACATGAGTGAACTTGGCCTGGGAGTTCAAAGGAGGTCAT